GATAGTGACACAGACATTTACGGGTAGATAGTGAGACAGACATTGACACAGACAGACAGGCATGTAGTGAAAGGGACAACAACACAGAGACAGACAAAGACGTTTAAATAACAAGACAGACAGTGACGGAGACACAGCCAGGTATATAGTAAGAGGGACAATAACAATGAGAGTGGGAAAGACAGTAGATAGATAGAGAATAATATGGAGATTAAAAAAAAAAAAGAAACAAGTTAAAACAGATCGAGAGAAGTAAAAAGATTGAGACAGACACTGATATGCAGAGACTGGCATACCAGTAGTAATGAGAGAGAGAGAGAGAGAGAGTGAGGAGACAGACAGATACACATACAGAGAGGGAGGGAGAGAGAGAGAGAGAGAGAGAGAGAGAGAGAGAGAGAGAGAGAATTCAGGACAGGCAGACAGACAATATTATTCAAAGCTCCACTTTTTTTCATGACAATTAATAAACTTCACATTTTTTTCCTTAATCCAGTGCAACGGTCCAGATCAATCGCCATCAGATGAGTAGCAGATAAAACCACGGTGCTGCTGTCAACTCTATTGGACTCAAAGGAAACAGTCAAGGAAATCAATTAACATCTTGGGCTCTGGCGCCCCATTGTGGAAAGGGGTGGGGGACAGTAATAGACCCACTGCCTCCCCAACAAGCATGTCGTAGGAGTCAACTAATTGGAGACATTCTTTGAACTCATCATCATCAGTTCTCGTTATGCCTAGTGGCACATGAGGCTTCAGAGAGGACTTCCCATGCTTTCCTGTCCCGTGCAATCTTCAGTGCAGTTTTGCAAGTCAAAGATGCCGCACTCAGGTCACTTTCCATCGTTCGTCCCCATGTTGTTTTTGGGCGCCCCTGTTTTCTCTTTCCCTCTGGTGTCCATGTGAGAGCTGTTTTGGCAGGTATATCAGAAGTCATTCTCATAACGTGGCCAAGCCATTTCCATCTTCTCTTGGTAATCATACTGTCTAAAGTTTCTTGGTTTGTGGCTTGAAGTAGTTTAGTGTTTGAGATTTTATCTGGCCGGAAAATTTTGATAATTCTACGTAGACATGTGTGGTGGAAGGTGGACAGCTTGTGTGCATCCTTTTTTTTTCTTTTTTGTAGGTTATCATCTCTTCCAGGGTATATTATGGTTTCTCCTGTACCTGTTGTGGATTGTCCAAACCCTGTCCACCTGCTTTCACTAATTCCAAGAATATGCAGTTTGTTTATAGTTCTGCATTTCTATAATTACTTGGGCGGTTTTGGCCGTTTCAAACATGGTTCTTACATTCCAGAAGCCAATTCTTAATTTGGTTTTGACATCCAGCAGACTTGTTTTCCCATCATGGGCTTCCTTTCGGCTTTCAACCATGTTGTTCATGCTGACAGAGGGACTCTGTCCCAAGACCACCGGACGTTTAGAGCACTTATTTCCTCTTGAAGTTTCAGTAACGTTGTAGATTTTTACAGGGCAGAGCTGTCAACACTGCGCCCAACCCCCGAGCCTGGAGGACCGGGAGGCCATCTTTAGTCTGGCCCCTCACAAATGACTTGTCAGGCTTGGGTGACCCTACCAGGAACATACGTTCCCGCCGGCATAGCTCACTAGATCATTGAAGCTCTCAAGCTCCCCCACCACTACAAGGTCATGGCCTCTGGGGAGGGGGGGGGGATTCTTTGAACTCGGAGCACATCTACCTGAGAGGCAAGGGACCACAAGTCTGCCTACAAATAAGCCAGACACATCAAACGGATGTGAACGCCACACTCCGGGTTTGGAGCAAGACTAAAGTCCTGTGGTTGACGAACACCCGGAGCTTTTCATCAGAGTTTACAGCCGGTGAACGCGAAGAAAAAGAAGTATTAATTTTAAAGAAGTCGAATCAACTTTTAATAAACTAAGCTTTTTTTTTTTTTTTTTTTCTTGTCGGCGTCTGTGGCTTAGGCGTTGCGAAAGCAGTTCGTAATGCCGGGGTAGAGGTTCGATCCCAGCTGCAGACGGTTTGTCTTGCATTGGTTTCGACAGTGGTACCAAGACATGACCGTCCAGAAAGCAATGGCAAACTAATGTACGTAAACTTTGCCCAGAAGAACCACTAAAGCTTGAAGAAATGCTAGGATTGGTTTTGCAACGTCCTGTAAAAGGGTAGGCCACTAACCTTTTTTCTTCTCAGAGTTCAACGGTTGTAAACTCTGGCGGAAAATTATCGGTGTCCGTCGACTCCTGTCTAAATTTGTATCTTGCTTTAGAACATCGGTTTTATCGACCTGGCTTATGAGTATGCAGTCTGTTGGTTCTTGGAAGCGCACTTCGACACTAAAAGAAACATCCCTAGCAGAGAAAGCATGAGGAAAAGAAGGGGGAGAAAAAAATGAGGCGATAAGAAAGGAGGACAAGAAGACGAAGAAAAATGAGGAAGAAGAATGAAGAAGAAGAAGAAGAAGTAAGAAGAAGAAGAAGAAGAAGAATCAAGAAGAAGAAAGAAGAAGAAGAAGAAGAAGGAAGAAGAAGAAATAAAAGAAGAAGAAGAGAATAATAAGAAGAAATAGAAGAAGAAGAAGAAGAAGAAGAAGAAGAGAAGAATAAGAAGAAGAAGAAGAAGAAGAAGAAGAAGAACAAGAAGAAACAGAAAAAGAAGAAGAAGAAGAAGGAGAAGAGGAAGAAGCAGAAGAAGACGACGACAAACTTTGAAAATTTCAATACAAACACCACGCACCCTTATCATCTCCATAATTATGACTGGCAAAGTCATCATCGCCATTAACTCAATTCTCGCGTCCTTTCTCTATTGCTTCCTAAAGCCTCTGCTGCGTCCATGAACTGATCTGAATACATCCTGGTCTTCAACTAGCCCTCGTTCAGTGCTGACTTCATTACCTCGTCCAACGAGACAAGTAAAATATCTGTAAATTAACGGATGCGCGCGGTGATGGATGTATTCGGCAGTAGAAGGATCAAAGATTAGGGGAAGCCAAAGTAACAAGGTGGCTAGAATGGCTGTCTGATGGTTTACTGCAGGGGCGTCGACGCAAAGAAAACAATGCTTGGTAGTCGGAAGCAGCGCTTGGTAGAGGAAGGGTTTTTTCTAGGGGCAAAAGCCTTGCTTTTAGTGTGCAATGTAGCGTTCTTCTTTGTGTGCCGACTGTTGGTTTCATTCGTACAGGAGTGTTCAGCAAAATGATTTTGTGATTACACATCGCTGTGATGAGCCTGGTTCACTGGTCGATCCAGCCCTGAATAAAATAATGCACACCCTATAAGAAAGGCCTGGAAATTCAAACTAGCGGTAACTAAAACTGGCATCCTGTCAGAAATGCTTTCAAGTAGTGGCAACTAAAACTGCATCTTGTCAGAAATGCTTTCAAGAAGCGGCAACTAAAACTGGCATGCTGTCAAATACTTGCAAGTAGCGGCAACTAAAGTTGGCATTCTGTCAAATGCTTGCAAAAAGCGGCAACTAAAACTGGCATTCTGTCAAATGCTTGCAAGAAGCGGCAACTAAAACTGGCTTTCTGTCAAATGCTTGCAAGAAGCGGTAACTAAAACTGGCATCCTGTCAGAAATGCTTGCAAGTAGCGGCAACTAAAGTTGGCATCCTGTCAGAAATGCTTGCAAGTAGCGGCAACTAAAACTGGCATCCTGACAAATGCTTGCAAGTAGCGGAAACTAAAACTGGCATTCTATCAAATGCTTGCAAGAAGCGGCAACTAAAACTGGCTTTCTGTCAAATGCTTGCAAGAAGCGGCAACTAAAACTGACATTCTGTCAAATGCTTGCAAGAGAGGCAACTAAAACTGGCATTCTGTCAAATGCTTGCAAGAAGCGGCAACTATTGCTGGCATCCTGTCAGAAATAATTGCAAGTAGCTGCAACTAAAACTGGCATTCTGTCAAATGCTTGCAAAAGAGGCAACTAAAACTGGCATTCTGTCAAATGCTTGCAAGTAGCGGCAACTAAAACTGGCATTCTGTCAAATGCTTGCAAGTAGCGGCAACTAAAACTGGCATCCTGTCAGAAATGCTTGCAAAGAGCGGCAACTAAAACTGGCATCCTGTCAAAATGCTTGCTGTCAAAAACTACCTCGTGTCAACACCCCCCCCCCCCCCCCCAATTTACCCATAGGTAATTAAAATAAAAAGGGTGGTCTTTCATCTCCAAGAACTGACAGAAAGCCCAATTAGGACAGCTGGTCAAAATAATCTGGAAGTAACGGTTGCTAAGCTGGCATCTGGTCAAGAAAATTTTGAATTAGCAGATCCCAAAACTGGTCCCTGGTCAAGAAAAATTAGAAGTAGCGGTTGCTAAGACGGCTTCTGACTCCATTCCCCATTCCCCTTTTTAACAACCAACCTCCGAAAACGCCTGGTTTTCCATCACCCAGTAGTCAGAAAGCCACTCTCGGTCAGACTGTGGGTGCTTTATTAATATCCTACCCCAAACAGGGGAAATCAACAGGTCACGGGAGAGTCTAATATTTCAGAGGGTGGTAGATAGGCTGCATGCAGTCGTGGGACCTAGGCTGCACTCTCTCTCGTGTGACGTAGGTGCGTGATGGTTAGGGCCATTTCCAGATTTGTTGTGGGTCGTTAAACGCATCAGAAAGCTGGGCAATCCAGTCTTACCACCCTCTAAAATGTTTGACTGTCCTGTGACGTCATCTGGGGGAAGGACATTAATAAAGAACTAGACTTTGTATCAGTGCTGGAAAAGAAAAATTCGCACCTAAAAGTTTATAAAATTGTATCACAACACAAGTCTCCATGCCTGCTAATACAGACGGCATGTTTTCGTTGTGCTTTACAGCTAGACTGCGATATCTGCACCTTTCGATTTCAGCCCACCCCTAAATAGTCGCCCCTGATGATAGATAATCTTCTTAAGAGGCAGTGCGTCCATTCTTTTTTCCCCCCACCCAAATCTGAAACCCCTATGGACAGTATGTTAGGCATTGTGCAACAACAAGGTCACACCCCATAAACATGACAAAATACTCACCGCGAACTCATTGACAATCCCGCGACACACCCTGGGCGTCTGAATAGTGAGGGAGGTGCAGAGATTGTAGGCGGAATCCATGATGAGCTCATCGGACATGTTTGAAGACAGCAAGGTCTGAGCCAGAATCACAATAGTCGTGCAGACACCGCAAGTTATTGACCCATGGCTGAGGTCCGAGAAGACATCCCGAGTCACCCGCCTGGTGCCTGTAGTGACATCCTTCAACTTTGTCAATCCCGTTCCAAAGAAAATGGCTACCTTTTCAATGATAGAATTCACGCTTTTGGCCACACGCGTTTGCTTGTGGTAAACAACTGGTGCATCAGAGTCTTGACTGCTTTGAAAGTGATAAACATCGACTATTTCGCTCCGCTTGCTTGGAGCTGCTGTGGCAGATTGAAGCGAGGCCAAAACACCAACAAAAATCAGTAAAAGTGCACTAGTTTCCATGATCCTGCAACGGGATGAAACTCTGAAGGAGTTTGTGACCACACCTGAAGGACAAATCAATTAAAAAAAATGTATATCAATATTATGGAGGAGGTGCGTGGAGAACGACAAAAAACAATTTAAACAAAAAATTATAAAAAGTCCTTAAGTGGTCGAAATTTCCCGTCTGGGTTACGAGGCACATTTTGATAAAAAAAAAAAAACCCATTTCACACCCACCTCATTTTTTAATAGTTTGAACAACAGATCAAAATCATGGCACACGGGTAGTAACCCATAAGTGCTCCGTTCTTTTTTTAACTCAAGTCTCTGAGTCCGAAGAAGCTCAGCAATGAGCACAGGCTCTGTGGCACCGGCGAGGATCCTGAAATACTTTGGGTGGATTTTTAACTCAAAATTTTTTGCCAGGGCAGCGCCGTGAGGCTACTCTTTTCGATTTCCAACTGCCAAGGTTTTTTTTTTACGTGCGCAGCAATACACACGGGCGTCCGATCTCACTACCCTAGAGACCCGGGGAAATAACCATAAGTCCAAGTCTACGAGAAAAAAATATAGCCTTTGCCGAGGATTGAACCCGGAACCTTTAGCACTCGAGGCGGAGACACCATGCCTCGAGACCAGCAGCCCCTATATAACTTTTAAGAATTCTCTTTCTCGTCTCAACTGACAAAGAAAGATTACAAAAAATATGCTTTATTTTGCCAACAACTGAGCGTAAAACTATAAACAGATAACAAAAGCTGGCGTTGGTTTCTGAAGTCCTGTTAAGCAGCGTTCAACACCCTGTTCTACATCTTCATGCGCTGCACTGCGGAAACTTCTTGCAGTCTACGCAATCATGTCGTGGCTACAGTAAAAACCAAACGGAGAAATGAAAAATAATATATTGCCGCGCTTTGTCTCTAGGAAACAACGCTCTGGCTAAGTATATCTGAATGTTCTGGTCTCTAGCAGCAGATGTCGGTAGTATTAGCTAAAATGTATTTTTTTTTTAAACATTGTAATTAATAAATAAAATACGATCTACATGCGCATTTGTTTTTCAATAGTTCGAGTCAGCGAAATATTTCTACAATTCTCCCGGTCCGGCTGAATATTTCTACAATTTTCCCAGTCCGCGAAATATTTCTACAATTTTCCCAGTCCGCGAAATATTTCTACAATTTTCCCACTCCGCGAAATATTTCTACAATTTTACCAGTCCGCGAAATATTTCTACAACTTTCCCGGTCGACGAAATATTTTTACAATTTTCCCGGTCCACGAAATATTTCTACAATTTTCCCCGTCCACAGGCTGTTTAAAAAAATTTTTAGAACACACTGTAAAGAGAAGGAAAAATGCAGTTAACTTTAACTATAACTCCAATATTCCCCAATGGTCAGTTAATTCACCAACCGGTCTCTATTAACAAAATGCGCAAATTTACCTTTCGCAGTCAAGGTGTACACTATGGCTTTACCAATCGTTAAAAACAACCGCAAAAAGAAAGAAAAAAAAAAACTGTGTTGTAACCCAAACAAGCCACTTTTAACATGCATGTTTTTCAGTTTTGGGAAGGCAACCATGCGTTTAAATCAACACAGCCGCACTGTAAAATGTTTGCAGGCGTGTTAATCTGTTAACTTGTACTCAAGAGTCGATGGGGGCGTAAGTGGCTGTACAATTATGCACCAAAAGCTGATTCCTGGATGTAATTTTAATTAAAAACATGACAGAAGGACAAAAGGTTCACCATACTTTCTATGGGTGAAAGGGGGCTGCGTGGTCTCGAAACATGGTGTCCGCTCCGAGTGTTAGAGGCTTCGGGTTCAATCCCGCACAACATAAACAAATTAACAAACGTTATTAAATATGTCATACAAAGCAAATTAATTCCCACCCTAAGCTATCAGTAACAGACATGATCCCTCTCAACAAAACGTAAAAGAAAATTAGTAACCATGGAAATGAGGTGTCTGAGAAAGACTGTTGGAGTGACCAGAAGACATAAAATCAGGAATGAGGTCATACGAGATAAAGTCGGCACAGAACCAATTCTAAATTACATACAAAGACAGCAAATCTAATGGTTTGCCCGCTTGCAGAGAATACCTTCTGATGCTATACAATATAAGGCATATACCAAAAGAGAAGAGGGGCGTTCAGCAAGAGGTAGACCAAGAATAAATGGGAAGATAATATCAGAGGAACTCTACAGCACCACGATGTGTCTATGGTCGAAGCAGCCAGCAGAGCACGAAACAGGACCTTATATCGCCCTCGATACCCAAAGTGGTAAAAGAGGACGTAGAGAAGAAGAAGTGAACAAAACAGGTGAGTTAGTATGCAAAATCAAAATCACGTGACTAACTGTGAAAGAGCTAACAATCGACATAACAGCACAGGGTGGGTAGGGCGCAAGTGTCACATTCTCATTCCCATAGATACTCCACACTCATCTTCAGCAGCCAATGGACAGTGTGGTTATTACTGGCACGCATAGGCGCCAAAACCTGGGGGATGGGGGGAGAGGGTGGGGAACACAAATCTACAGAGCCCGCCATTTGGGGGAGGGGGGGGGGGTCGTAAACCACCCAGATATTCTGTATTTGGACAACGAGGCCACCTTTAACCGTGTACGGACATTTTCTTTAACAATATGAATTGGTATATTTCATAATATTTAAAATTATCATAGTGGTGTGCCGTTCAGAAATTCATAATAATAACATTTATAATAAATATAATAATATTAATAATAATAATAATAATAATGCGCTGAATGGCAAATAAATATAATAATATACATGAAACAGGTGGCTGGGTTACACCTGAAGAATAGAGGACGGCAGAGTCTCTAAGGACATCCTTAATGGTGAATTAAAGATGGGTAAAAGTTGTCGAAGACGACCTCTACTACAAAATAAAGATATGCGCAAGTGGGACATGAACGATACAGGTAATGAGGTGGACTCACTGAAACAAAATGCCACAGACCGTGTTATGGGAGGGGACACACCAGGAAGGAAATGAGAATGAAGGAAGAAATCATTGCAGAAAGGATGAGAGCTGAGCGCCTGAGAAGAAACAGACTAAACACAAATGTTGACAACAGTCCGGAAATCCCATGCTATAAATGAGGAAGATTTTTTTTTTAAAGCGGGCGTCGTTGTTCATGAAATGCATCACCTTGTGGGATGCAATTCTTCGTCATTTTGAAGCCTCACCCTGGCTTTTGCCGGGGGCCCTAATTATAACCAGGCCATAAATATGACCTAACGGCTGAAAGGGGTTTCCAGGACCTCCCCATGGGTGATCCTTATCCACATGGTGGCACTTTGTGTCACCGGGTGTTTATCGCTTGTGTGATGTCCTGGTGGGTACACTACCCACCCATCTACTTTAAAAAGGCCATCGCCGTGGGCTGTGAGTCCCATGCCTCCTCATAGCACAATATAACACATCTTCTTCTTCTTATTTTCTTCCACTATTTATCTCAGAGAGGGAAGGAGGGGGGGGGGGGTGTAAGGGTGATGGTGCACTTTATCTAATGCGTTGTACAAGTTGGTGTTTATTTCTGTTAGGTTGCTCCTGATGATGTGGCTTTTGTGCCAAGAAAATTATTAGTCTGTGTATTTGCGAAATATAATAATAATAATAATTGCGCAATTAAAAAGAGGCTTAAGCCCTTGTTTCTTAAACACTACATGGAGGACTACGGTGAAAGATTGTTTTTTTTAAAGGGGGGGGGGGAGGCTGAGCTTCCATCAGTGTTTCAACTGTGGTGACGCACCTCACTATAGCAAAACTTCATAGTGGAGACACCACAACACAATATATATATATATATATCTCAAGCGGGAGTGGAGAAGGCAGAATGGAGATTACAGACCAGAGAGTGACAGCATAAACAAACTCAACAGGAAAGAACAAACAACAATTTTTAGACTTCGGACTGGACACTGTTAATCTTCGAGCACACCTGTCAGGATAGGCATAACATAATCTGCTGCCTGTTTACCTTAGAGAGGGAGCAGGGGGTGGGGGGGGACCCTGGGCAACATACTACGTACTGCCCTTTAGCTAATCCAGCAAAGTTGGGTGACTGTGGTTAGGATTGCTCCCAAGGGAGCCACATTGCAAGGGAAGGTATGGGGGACCTGTGGTGACCTTAAACGCACAATCCTATTTGTGACCCAACTGGACTCAATGTTTAAACACCATGAATGATGTCGAACGCAGAAGAAGAAGAAATATATATATATATATAATATATAATATATATATATATATATATATATTATATATACTATATATATATATATCTGTCTGTGTGTGTGTTGTGTGCGCGCGTGCGTGTGACAAAACATGCCTTGTCGAACGGCCATGAATCAGAATATCACCAGCACACCATTAATGTGACATAAGTGCTTTCTGCTGGTTCTACTGTCATCTTTAATTAACGCAACACTAAAACACTACTGTGACATTTAAATGAGTCACTTACTGTGATAAGGCGCGGGCGGTAAGCTCTTCGTGTGGTCAGACCAGCTGTTTGTGTGGGATCTGTGATGTTCATGTATACTTGGCTGTTTTATCTCCATAGATAACAAATGAATTACTTATGTAGAGTGCTTTTCAAACTACTGGTCACGGCTCTCTTCCGAATACCGGTCCCAAATTATTCACTGCGAAAAACATCCCATTGAGAGCCTCAAGAGGTTATGAAGTAAAACTATTTAGGCCATCATCACCAGTTTCCACTTTGTCGTTATTGCTCGATGGGTAGCAATGTTTAGACGTTAAAGGTAAGCGCCGTGGGGAGGAACAGATTTTGATCCATTGTTTAAGCCTCGTGGGGGGAGGAGTAGTTTTCGATCTATTAAAGCGTCGTGTTGACGAATAGTTTGTGATCCACAGTTCACATTACCTATGACTCGCCTTGTGGGTTCCACCGCCACATGTTTCATGCAAAAAAAAAATAGATCCACCGCCACCTAAAAGCATATTGTAAAAGG